AGAGTTTAAGAGAATCCTACAAACTCTTAAAGAAAGCAAAAAGAAACTAAGACAAAACACTAAATCCATGATACTCAGAATCTGTTGCACACCTGTTCACCCTGTTTTATAAATATATTTTAGAATCAGAAGAATACAGGAAGGGGAGAAAAGGAAGACTGAAGTGACTGAGCAACTTCTGTACAAGCACTGTACGTAGTCTAGGACTCTTCAACCTGGAGAAAGAAGAGCAGGATTTTGTAGCACACTAAAATTGTGAAATGTAGAAAATGAGTAAGGGAAAAAGCATGTATTCCCTACTCAGTCTCAAGAAATATCTACATTATCAGCTCTCATTAGGCAGGTTTAAAGGAAAGCTAAAGTATTTTCACTCACCACAGGTTGTGGTACCTAAGATGTAGTAGAGGTTGAATGACTAAGTTGCAAACAAGACTGGTATTTCTAAGCATCTAATCCCTAGACATTGAATATGGTGGTTCAGGGGCAGCTTTCAGACCAGACAATGCTCATCTCCAGAGGGGTCATGTGTTAACTGGCACATTTTATCCTGCCCTACCATGACTGGTCAAAGCATTTACATGACTTTCATCTGTAGCAAACCACTCCAGGCCTGACAGCACAGGGAAACTGTGGTGCCAATGCACAGACTTACTATGATTTAGTTATGTCCACTGTTAAATTGAGACCATGTTGTGCATCTTCTTTTACAAAGGCACTCAGTGCTAAAGTCACACTAAAATACACAAGAGTAGGCAATACTGAGTATACTGTAAAACTACAGCCTGGAGTATGCTACAGGAATTTTCCCAAGGCAAACCTTTATCACTACTGAAGTAATCCCCATCCTGTTTTACAGGTAAGAAAGAACACAGATATAATATGTTGTGTACCTGCTATGTTTATAATGTTTGTTAGTGTTCCCCAAAGGCAGGAACTGATACACAATCCTCCACTGTTTCAATTAAACAAAGTGATGAACAGCACTCAAGGTCCTGGTTATTCATCCTGAGCAGGACAGTGCTCCCAAAGAGTTTATCAAAAAATGCTTTTCAAAGTGTAATCCCTTTACATCTGAATTTGCTCCTTGTGCTACACATTACTAAGAGGCCATCAGGACTTTGCTAACTCCTAGCTTCTTTTGTATAGGAATTACCCAAGTTGGTAGTGCTGTCAGTTAGAGCCAGAATTCCATTGGGCTGAATTTGTCAAGAATAAAGTACTACCAGGGCTAGTAAAATACAGGCTCTCTACTGAATTCTCAAAGAAAACTCTGAGGAATTCTTGAAAGTCCAGTTTAACTTCCACTGAAGTATTGCACTGCCGGGCAACTGCAGTAGCGCTCCTGTTCTTCTCCTAAATTAGGTTGTGGACTGAATGACTCCCCTGTGGGGCTTGCTGCATATATTTTGGAGAAATTCTCTACCTGGACAGATAAATCATTTCTGCATAAAGATGATGGAGGCTTGGAAAGGTAAGTAAGCAGATGCTCTTCCATGAGAAGAATCATTAAAAGAATGAGTGATAACTAATGAGGAGATAGGTAAAAGACTGGCCAATCAAAGATTCATTTTAAGGACAAAAGATTATACATGACAAGTAGTAGTTTAAACTTACAGCAGACTGCCTGCAAACTACTGCTTCAGCACCAGGCAGTTTTGCTCTGGGCACATGGGTGCTGATTAATTTGCTGCTTGAAAATGAGTGGAGAACAAGAGGAACAACTGTTCTTCAGGACATGAGCCAAATACAGCATACTGAGAAACAGCTTCCAATGAAATTTCTTCATTTCTCTCTCAACAGCAAATACTCTCTTGATGAGCTTTTGACCAATGTGATGATATATTGGGTAACATCCTCCATTGTGTCTTCAATGCGATTCTACAAGGAGAACATCTCCAAGGTCTCTCGTCTTACTGCTGATGCCAGGTAATAAAGTGACAGGTCCAAGACAGATTTGCAAATGAGATTTGCCTGTATAAATGTTTAGATCTAATAGACAAAAAAAAATCCAAGTTCTTATTTTCTTTTGATAAATAAGGGTCACTTTTCTTTTGAACCTACAATTCACACAAGGTAGCCTGTGGCCAAGACAGTGCAGACAACTTATCAAAGTATATTCAGTCATTTATGTTCAAAATACAGGTCTATATACTTATTGTAATCTGGGGCTCAGTTCAGTAAAAACAAAACAGAAAATCATTAGCATTTCCAAACGAGTTTAAACTGAAATAGGAAGGATATGGCTTACTGGTGGGTAAACTAAGAACTACAACTGTTAAGCACAAACTTGGGGAAGCAATTTGGAGAGCAGCACTTGAAACCAAGCACCTTCTAACAGCCGCTGGCTTTAAGATGACTATAAGAGAGGCTGACCAGGAAAAAGCTGCTGAGCAAAATTCTCCAAGTGATTGATCATACAAACAAATAGGAGAGACTTTTTTCTTTGTAGACTGAACCGGTTTACCTTTCCTCTCAAGAGACTCATTTGTTAGGTTGCTACCATAAATTCTAAAGTAAACATGAGGTAGCTAATTTCTGACTTTCACAAATAGATGTAGCATCTTGCCATGTATCACTAAACAAAACAAGGTAAGCTTAAAAATCTGAAACATTTCAAGGTTGAACTGTGTACAAAGTTGGCTCTACACATTATTGATTATAACATTCCTAAACTGAAGGAGATCCAAATACAAGTGAAGTTCTTCAGCAGAGTACTGCAAAATGGGTTGCTGGGATCAAACTTCCCCAGCTGATTGTGGCAGTAACCAGAGTCAGAAGATTTTTATAGACTTTCCCCACGACTTCTTTCCAAAATGAAGTTAACTAATGTCTTCCAGGGTTGGAGTATACGTTCCCACAGGGATTGCAGCTTTTCCTCAGGAAATAGTACATACACCACATGTCTGGGCAAAGGAGGTCTTCAAGAACATCATCACTTACTCTTACATGCCACGTGGAGGGCATTTTGCTGCCTTTGAGGAACCAAAGCTTCTAGCACAAGACATCATGCACTTTGTCAGAAAGGTGGAACAGCTGTGAACGTGCAGTTTAGATACATACTGGAAGCAAGTTGTTCTGCCACCAGCAGAACCTTTACTTTGAGGGATTAAATAAATCCAATGTAATCACATGCAGAAGCCAGCATTTTATTTTGGTAATTATTATAGTACTAAACTTGTTAATCAAGGTCTAAAGCTCTTAAAGAAAAAAAAAAAAAAAAGCATCTTGTCATCTTTTATTCCTGGCACCATATCACTGCTGCATTCATAGTTCAAGTATAACAGAATATGTAAACAGTTTAATGCAGTAACATTACACTCATCTGGGTAAGAGAGTAGAAAGGAACTTGGTCCTTGTTCCTCAGAACTAAGGCTTGTGTTGCAAAGCTTCTTTAAATACTTGAGTGTTAACATTCTTAAATATGCATTACAAGCAGCTTTGGTGGAAGTGTAAAGGGTTTTGATCTCCTGAGCACAAACACTCCTATGTTCAAGTTATATTTCATTCAAGTCCTGTGATTACATATTCAAGTGGGCAGCTGCACATAAGACAGCCATCTTCATTCTAGTAGTTTTTGCCCTAGAGCTAGATTTAGCAGTTATGACTACTATTGTAAACACTTGTTAATGGATAAGGGAGAGACAGCACTCCCTAGTGTGTTCTCCAAGCTCAAAAATATCAACTTAATTCCCTCCTAGCTCTACAGTCTCACTCCATTCCAAAAGGTCAAAGTTAAAATATGCACCGTTTAGGTTACTTCAACCTTTAGCCTCCTTTCAAAGGATTTTTACCACCCCATTGTGCAATTTATGCTAGCAAGAAACTGCAAGCAACCTCGCTACTAGTAGGCTCGTTTCTCTTCAAATGGGATAGACCTATTTGGAGCTATTAAGCTCATTACATTACAGATATATATATATATACACACAGGCAAATGAAGATAACTGCAGCAGGTATCTAGTTCTGACACACTATGCTCTAAGGGTTTCTCTCCCTCCCTGTCCCATTTGGCACTAGATACCAGGCCAGAAGAAAGGGCTCAAATTCTGCTTCTAAGTAATACATTCCAACTTAGATCAGGAATTTGACAGGTAAAGATAGTGCTGAACTTGATCACACTCCTCTCACCCCTTCTTCACATTTCAGAAGCATTCAGAGTCTAAGACTTTTAAGATGTGAAAGCAAGAACATAACTTTTCTGTTGTTAAGTGAGAATAAACTAGCATATTGGGGCAGGAGTCCTAACTTCAGAGGAAGAAGGTTAGAGCAGAAAATGCTTACTTTTAATTTTAACTGTACATCTGATTGTCAGGGCTGCTGGACTAAAGGTTAGTAAGAAAAAAAAATATGAAGATGACTCCACTGCCTCCACAGGACTGCTCAACCTCTTTTCATCACCATATAAGACCATAATAAGTACAAGACCTCCCAATTGCTGAGAAGTCCCACTCTTTGGATTGTTAAGTAACTGAAATTGAGTTATGGGGAAATCTAATTTTAGTCAAACATATGGGCAAACCTTGAGTATTTGAGTCTAACCAGACTGCAGGGAAAGGTCTACTTTTATAGGAATAGGGTAGGTAAGAATGGTTAAGGCCTTTATAGCGAAGACCGACTGTATTAGCAATCACATACATTACCTAGAGTCCCAAACAATCATCTAATTATTACCAGATAAATGGCTATATTAAAACTCAGGAGAGAAAAGACTGTATCCAGTATCTGCCAGTTCAGCAAGTATATGGCAGTAAAACTTTACTCCCACTACCGATTCATCTCCTGTGCCACAACTCAGCTCCCTAAAGAATCACTGTATCTGTGTGCAACTGTGCCTTAAAGGGTATTTGCTTGCAACAATTCAGGAGATGAAGACAGATGAATTCAGTCAAACTATAGGAAGGCAGTAGATGCCCTGGAGAAAAGATCCAGACAGAGAAGAATACATGGCTACATTTGATAAAGTTATTATTGCTTAAAGCAGCACCAAAAAAAAATATTCACTATTCCATTAAAAGTTCTACAGAGCACAGATCATTCACAAAAGCCTTTGAGTGTCACAGGTGCTTGAAACCATACATAGTCCTCCCAAGTAGAGGTCACATGCTGAGGAGGCGAGGAACTTATGTTGATGACTCCATCGCAGGACAAGTTAACAGTTAGTTTCCTTCCTCGGGTCGGCACTTTATAGTTGAGCTTGGGCCGGAACCAATCAACACCACAATCGCGGTGTCCTTGGAGCATAACAACAGTGCCAACAACAGGGAGAGCCTTGAGTTCACTGAAGACATCCGCAACGAAAAGCGCATGAAAGAGCTTGCGAACACAGGATGTAGTTTTCAGGCTCTCCTCAGCACGGCCCTCGTAGATACCTTCTAAGTTGAGCTCATAGAGCTCCTTGGGGCTCATGACATTGCCTCCAAGTAGAATGAGAACCCGAGGAACCAGTGTCAAACTAAACATTACTTCCAAGTGCTGGAGCACTCCCTCCAGATCCATCAGCACCTGCTGGCACTTCTTGCTTGCCGAGTCCACAGAGGGTGGCTTCTTAATCAGGTCTCCATCCTGAAAAACAAACAGACAAAAAAGATTAGTACATTTCATTATTAGGAAATATTAGTCCTAATACATTCTTCAGAGCATAGGCTATCCCATCTCTGAAAGTCAAGGAAGGTTCAGAGGGTTTTATGCTCCTTTTGAAAGATATAAGTACTCACATATAGAATCAGGAAATCCAAGAGGAACACAAAAGGCTGCTCTGTAGTTGCTTGGTTTGAATCTGAATTACACTACTGATGAATTCCCACAAGAATTAAAACCCCCAACTTTTAAAGATCAGATATCACTTCAAAGCCACTTAGGATTAAAAAACCTTCTTCTTACAGTTGTTTAAGCAACAAACTAAACAATAACATGCTTTGGGCAGAAACTGGGAGAATGAAAGAAAACCAGTAACTTGCTGAGACCCTTAAACACCTAACTTAAAGCATTTTAAGTTGTAGCAACACTTAAAGCTACAACTACAAGCCCCAAGTTACTTTAGAAGCAGTTGACATACTAAAATAAGACTTACTGAGCTAGAACAGTTAGCTGACAGGCAAAACACAAATGCTGCAGCCTCTGGGGAATAACCGCCCCTGGGGTCCCTCTCGGCAGCTCCCCGCAGCCCCCCCTCACCTGCATCGCCCGCCGGCAGAAGTAGGCAAGCTGCTCGTATGGCAGTGGGAGCTGATGTCGCTGGTGCAGGACGTGCTTGAGGAGCTCGCAGGCGAAGCGGCAGCAACTCTCCCGGCTCACGGGGCCCGGGAACACCACCGACACCGAGGGGCAGGCCGCCGCCAGCCCACTCCGCTGGGGCATCATCCCAGAACCGCAGTCCAGAACCGGTGGCGCCTCACCTATAAGGAGCGAAGAAGGAGAAGAGATCGCTCGATCAGGAACAAGAGCTACCGCAACCCTAGGAGCCGCCATTTTCTGGCCAGCGGAGGGCGGCCGGCTAGGATTTGAATGGCCGCCGCCGGAGGGCATCATGGGAGTGGCTAACGTTCGTCTCGCGCGACTTCCGGCTGCGCACGCGCCCGGCTGGGCGGGGCGGGGCTTCCGGCCCGGCAGGAGGAGGAGGAGTAGTGGTAGTGGTGGTGGTGGTGTCTGTGGGCAGCCCAGCCCCAGGGGGTGGGCTGGGCTGCACTGGGCTGGCGGGCACGTTCGCTTCTCCTGTCCTGGGCTTGTCAGCCGCGCGGAGAGCAGGCGCTGCTGGGGTGCTCAGTGGGGCTAAGGACCGCCGTGCTGAGGAGGCACCGTGGCAGGCTCGGCTGCTCCAGTCCGGGCAGGCGCGCCGTGAGCTGCGGCTGCCTCCTTGCAGGGCTACCCAGGGGGCTCCGGAAAACAGGTCAACTGCCTTGACCCCCGCCCCGTGCTGCAGCCCGCCCAGAGTACATTTGCAAGGTGCGTGGCAGTGAGGGGACAAAGCTCAGCCGGCCGTCCCCGGGCCGCTGAGCTTCCTTCGCCCCCGGCTGGCAGCCCTGTTGGCTCCGGTCCCTTGCAGAGGAACCCCTTTCGGC